TGACTGTTGATTCCCTTATACATAAGACAAGAACCTTATATACAATATATACAATTTATTTACAGTACATGATATTAAAGATATATAACACCCATTACACACACACTAACAAAATGGTTCTCTCTCTCTATCATTCAATAATGAACAATGGTATAAGTACAAATGATAACATTTGGTTCTATACATAATATCCTACAGTTCATGTAGCTTTTAATTTGGGCACTTGTTCATCCTCTTCCATTGTAACGTGATGACATTGATGATACTGTCCATTCGTAATCAGTCCACCTCTCACCAAACATTCCATAAAGTTACACTGATAACATAGGGAGTCACCATTGGTCACACAGGCCAATGAACAAATAAGGTACAAATGGTCACACAGACCAGCCAATCGTAGGATCGATGTTGCGGTTGGTCACACAGACCCCCATCCTAGGTCAGTCACGCAGACTTACAGTATCTGGCTCGGATAATGAGTGTAGATGTTAGTCACACAGACTCACTCTACTACATCAATGTTGGGTACATGACTTTACCCTCTACCCAACCACACAGGTTCGGGTAAGTATGTCGGCAGACTTATGTTTGGAACATCAGCGTCAGGACATGTGTTACTAACGGTGGTAGGTTGTCGTCAATTATCAAAATAGCCAACAGTGTATGGCCTTTCATCAGGCTGTAGCGACGATAGCCGATATATCCCATGACGGAAAAGCTACACTATACGTACATGTATGAACTATTCAAATATCTGTTATAAACATTATGATAATATCACATGATTTTTTTTAGATTTGTTATGAAATCACTGCCCTACATATGAACCAAGGATATATATTATATCCAATAAGGAATGTCTATTAATTATATACATATTACAAAAGCTAAAATATACGTACATGTATTAAATATATATATCATAACTAAACTGAACAAAACTAGCCAGGCCTTTGTTTACACTCCCTCTAACCTCATACACACGCATATATACGCAGCCCGTGCCGTTCACGTACGATACTGAGTACGCTTACATATTTATCATGTCAAATACAACATTCTATCGAACTGATAAGGCCCAGCAAACATATATGACCTAATACGGTTTACTGGTTTGACATTGACATGTATCTTCAAATATTTACATTCTGTAAGCTTGGACCCATTGACAAAAATGGAATTAATTTTCGGCATAACACCGGTGACCTCATCACTGCGTATTGATACACTGCAATGACGTAACACAGGGCGTACTTGGTTCACGTTCACCGTGGAACAACCCTCGATGTAGTTTGTGTATGCTAATATCAACTAACATTAAATATGATTGACTTGGTTTTAAAACTAAAATAAGGTGTATAAAGTATATGATAACAATATACGAATTGTATATAAATTCAACAAATTAGATTCTGATAATGGAACTATATTTTATTTGTAATGTTGTCATGCTGTTGTTAGTAAACCCAGCAAGGTTTAATTTTCCCACGAAAACACGCTGTTCTCTCTAACGCGTTGACCAGGTGTATAACACGAAAATAATTCCGGTTTTATATTTATATATAAATGCTTGCATAGGAAAATTCACAACACTTAAAAATGTAGTTATACATAATGAAATTATTTTTTCAACATTCCTGAAGTCATAACGCAATTCATGGTAAATATGTCCAGAAAGTCAATGCTGTTATGACCTCATGAATGTTGAAAAAATAAATTGTATTCTTAATGGCTAATGTAATGGTTTTCTACTCTTTCGAAAACGCCATGAAAATTACCCACATATCCCCTAAAAAGGGAAACGCATTGTCTTAAAAATGATGTCAGCTGTTTTTTTGATAAATATATATTTGATTTAATATAGATAATATTTTCAAAGGAAAAGAAGGCACAAGGCATTATATTTTATCCTACATTTTCTTCATTAAAACAGATAAACATAAAAGTAAATCATTTACTAAACATACCTCTAAGACATCTTATACTACACTAACCTCTCAGACAGTATCATTTACTTACCATACCTCTCAGACAGAATTATAAACTACACACATCTCTCAGACAGAATTAAATAATACAAAAACCTCTCAGACATAATCATATACTACACAAACCTCTCAGGCATAATTCTATACTACACAAACCTCTCAGACCGAATTATATACTACACAAACATCTCAGACATAATTATATACTACACTAACCTCTCAGACAGTATCATTTACTTACCAAACCTCTCAGACAGAATTATATACTACACAAACCTCTCAGACAGAATTATATACTACACAAACCTCTCAGACAGAATTATAAACTACACACATCTCTTGGACAGAATTATAAACTACACACATCTCTTAGACAGAATTATATACTACACAAACCTCTCAGACAGAATTATATACTACACAAACATCTCAGACAGAATTATAAACTACACACATCTCTCAGACAGAATTAAATAATACAAAACCTCTCAGACAGAATTATAAACTACACACATCTCTTAGACCGAATTATATACCTCACACACCTCTCAGACAGAAATATATACTACACACAACTCTCACACAGAATTATATACTACACACATCTCTCAAACAATATCATATACTACAAAAAAAACCTCAATAGTATAATAGATTTATACGACACATCTGAAGTTTTTTTTAGCTCACCTGCCCAAAGGGCAAGTGAGTTTATGCCGTACCGCGGCGTCGTCCGTCGTCCGTCCGGCGTCAACTTTTCCCTTTAAAAGTATTTATCTCCTGAACGACTGATTGGATTTCAACTAAATTTGCTATGAAGCATCCTTAGGACCAGGGGCTAAGTGTATTTACGAAATAAGGGTGTGGCATCCTAGGGGGCTGAGTTAGGGGCCTAAAAGGGGAAAATTTAGAAAAAAAATATAAAAAAATCTTATTCTCCATTTCCAGAAATGTAAAAATCAAATACTACTCATAGTTTAAAAGGCCTTTGGATGGTTTATAAAAAATTGTGATTTAGGGAAATTTCATGATCTTCTTAAAAGTTCTAGAAATGCTAGAATCAAATACTACTCATAGCTGTAAAGGCCTTTGGGTGGTTTATAAAAAATGTGATTTTCATGTCTCTCAGGGCCCCCATTTGCCCGTGAGGAGGGGGTGAAGTTTAGTATAGTTTATATAGGAAATAAACATAATAGGCCATATCTTTCAATGTTTTGAACGGAATTTGCTCATATTTGACAGAAATCCTTGTTAGGGGGAAGAGGTCTGCTGGTATAATTTCTGTGACCCTGACCCCCTAGGCGGCTGGGTTGTGGGTGAAAAAGGAGGCGAATTTCAAAAAACTTCTTCTGCAGTTCCAGAAATGCTAATATCAAATACTACTCATAGTTGTAAAGGCCTTCGAGTGGTTTTTATATTTTGTGATTTTCATGTAAAATTTAATAGACAATTCGACAAATGAACAGCCATCACATACTATTTATCTCCAACCCAACTAATGTGCTAGTAAAAGTAACAACCTTATTTGTTTATGAATTATAAAGTATCCATAGTAACGCTTCCTAGTTCTTAAACAAATTGGCATTACATAGCAAATGTAAATATTGTGCCATGATTGCTTAAATAACCAGGTGAGCGATACAGCCCCCCTGGGCCTCTTGTTATTCATTAAATGAAACATTAGTACTACTGGAATAGTTATAAAGATTGCAGGAATTGAAAGAACCGGCTGAGATCCAAGACCATTATAAATACAAAGGGAATAGCAAGAAGTGCTGCTCCAAAAAACCCGATAGCTTTCGAGGAGTCGCGGCTGTCAGTTGCGCTTGTCTTCTTCCTTATTGAAGCTGTAATAAAAAAAATCTCACTGTATTTGTTTATGTTCAAGAATTGATCTTTTTAAACCAAACAACAAAACATGATAATTTGTTAATAGATCAAACTCATCCTTGTCTTAATTCTTCTGACTTATGTGTACAATTTGTATACAGTTGAACCACATTTGTAATAGTAATTTCGTTCCGCATAATAATCATCTATTCTGTAAGATTATGTAACCAATATCTGACGCTATAATTGTATCTACCATGAAGTCTCGTTCTGAGTAACTAGCACGCATGGCAGCAGATTGACTGTTTCTGTTGTGTGTCTCTACACCGAGCTAACGACTTATCAAATATACAATTCCGTCACGTCGTTGTAAAGGTAAACAATAAATATCGCTTACTCAGTCATAGATTGACAAAGGAACGAGTCAGTCTTGAAACGTTGTGACACGTTTAGTACGTACATTGTCTGTGTATAAAGTAAAACTTTGATATCAACATATTCCCAAACTGATGAATCTTACTAAAGATAATGTTACTTAACTTTGTCCATCTAATGGTTGTCACAGGAATCACAGGACACGATTGTTACAGTTTTATTGTGTCTCTTTTTCACAAAATCCCTGTAACGCTCGATCGATTCGTATACGTTACCTGAGAGAGCTGATTTGTTAACTGATAGCTCTGCCTTCAACTCTTTGATAACTGTCTTTAATTGAGTAGAGGTCATATTGATAGCCGGCTTCTGAGGGACACACTGACAGCAAGGCAACACGGTTTGACCTTTTAAAAACGATTAGAAAAACTATTTGCAATTTCGAAAAATATTTCATGATAACAACAAGTTCTGATTTCTATTTTTTATATTTTTCAACTTTTATTATATGTTTATTCAGCAGTACTTTCTGTACGTTGTACTCAGTGTTTTTTTCTTCTTTCTGATTGCTTTTAATCTTTCCTATTTCCGCGTGAACGTTCTTCAGGAGAAAAGATATCACTGGAAATAAATAGCACATGAGGCCATCTGTACTGCAGTGTATTGTCACATCGCTGTCATTTGTTTTTTTAAGTATCTTTCGAAAAAGTCATTGCGTAATTTAATCGTGGTTTTTTCAGTCTTATTGAATGGTATTGTTCGGTTTGTTACGTGGTTTCTGCCGAGGAGTTGTTATATTTATTTACATATTCAAGGTACTGTTGTTGAGTTATAGTTTGAAGGGATTTGATTGACTATTGTTTAGTTTGGTACTGAACTTTGATGCAATAATATCTAGATTGCAAGGGTATTAAACAACAATTGCGGCATATGTTTGACACGATTTACTATTCAACAGATATGCGTGTCATTCATAAAAAACGTATATTTAGTTATGGGTATCGTTTTTAGTACAATTATCTCATAAAGTACTAAATTATGATATACCCTAAATACACATACCATTGTTAGATACATCAGATGTGACATTTCTGAAAATCTCTGTTGTGGTGGACAGCGTCTCGAATGGTGGTGCTGTCGGAGTGGTGGTAACGGCATTGGTGGTGGAGGTGGTGGTTATAGGACAATCAGGCGCTGTACCTTTAACATAGATGTGATATATACATATTTACATTTGATCTGCATTGCCACTATATAACACTACCAAGGCCAATTCCGTGTTATGAGACAATAACACTGGCGCAGTGATATATACACGGTTACGACTAACTATCAGGTTGTTATTCCCCCTGCACACTAGCAAGCAGATAAGAATATACAAAATTGAAAGGTATGATTCAATTGTATTCACCGTTTTATGTAAGACTATTATAAAATGTGAATGGAATATATTGATTGATTAAATTATGGAAAAACTATTAAAAGTTTGGTGTTTACTTCCACGCACTATATTTTTTTTACTTGAAAAGTCAACAGAGACAACATTCCGTAAGCAATTCCATTGGCTGTTCTTGTATCTCTTGTACAAACACCGCTAAATTCTAATTTAAAAGTGCCCTGTAAAGGTAGAAATGATTTTTTTAAATGTCAATATAAGCATAACACAGCATTCTGTTCCGTGTTATTGTCCTATAACACGAAACAAAATGCTGTTTAATGCTTAAATATATGCTAAGAGATTTATTTGACAATGTAGTGTTTATATTATATAAAATTAGCTTTGATTTTATACACCCAATTATTCTTCCAGGAACTCTTTCCACGAGTCTTGTTACTCTGTGTCAAGCTATTACATTCCCCCCACGCCTTTAATGACGTCTTACAAATGCGTCTGACCTGGTTATATGAACAGATTATGCAACGAATTATACATTTTTCACAGCTAGCATGTCAGGGAAACGTTGTATATATCATTTTACATTTGAAGTTTAGAGGCGAGGCTGCGTCCATTAAGTTTCGGGAACATTGGTCATTCCAGCCAAAAATAAAATAAAACTGAAAGCAAAGTGATATTTAAGTGTGTTTGTGTCGGTTTGGGAGTTATGAAACAGTTATGGAAAAAATAGTTATACATCGACAAAGCCTAATAAAATGTATCTATTAAATAAAATATGAAGGCACGGTAATCTAGTGGTAGGACGCCGGGCCGGTGTACGAAGGGTTTCGGGTTCGAGTCACGTCACGGCACTGTGTTGTACAGTTGTGGGACCGCATAACGCACCAAAAATACCGTGCGCATACGGAAACAATTTGTTTGTCTAACATAGTGACTTAGTTTCCTCCTTTACCAAGAAAACACACTGCATTGTTTTAAATGCTGCCTCTCGCTTTGAAATAAAGAATGCGTTACGAAAAATGCCAAGTGAGAAATGTTCAAGACAATAGGCCTACCATCATATTCCAACTAAGTGACCATAACTAACACAAGTGATCACTCATGAACGCTGCATCATGTCACGTGACGCCAATCCCCGCGAAAACACGACAACTCATAAATAAACTAGTGAACAACGATAAAGTAGTGGGTAACATAATACGCACCCACAATTAAAATCTACACGAACGATAGCGATTTTCAACAAACTTCAGGAACCCGGTTACCAAATATTCCAGTATGGCGATGGCGGCCACCGAGCTTAAATACGCCGCTTCGGCAAACTAACAACATATAAAACTACATACGTAAAACATTACAAACTATTAATATGTCATCAATTGCAATAATGTAGTTCCGTTAAGTATGAACATATTTAAAAATGAGCGAAAATTTATATACAAAAACTTTAATTTGTTTCGATAAAATATGATTGTGCTTATCATGGATTCTGAGATGAAAAGAGGAAGTTATAAGGGAGATAACTATGACATGCATATGCTCAGTTGGGCTGAAGTAACAATCCATCAATAAATAAAACCTAATTTGTGCTTAAAAAATCAATTTATTTTTTTAACATTACATTTTACTAAATGTTACCCCTCGCGATGAAATAAAGAATGCCAAGTGAGAGATGTTCAAGACTGGACAAATTAGATATAATGTAGGAGTGCCCGTATGGGCCTTTTGGAGGCCATCACATATAATATTTGCATAACTACACCTTGTGGTTATGCCGTCATGATATTTATATATAAGGCCATTTGTGATATTGGTCCCCCATTGCATCCCCTTATGTCTCGGAATGGTCTCCAAGCTGACCCTAGTTTTATGTCAAATCGTGACGGCATAACTGTAAGGTATATTTATGCAATAAAAATTAAAACTCATCTGTGATAGCCACCAGAAGGTCAAACAATTGGTATCTATCCCCTTTCAATGGTATACTGCCGCCAAAATATATGACATTGATAATTTTAAACAGTCCTTTATCATTGTATAAAATACGCTGATTTACCAGAACTCTGTCGATCTTCTGTTACGGTATTACTCCGAAGGCCTCTGCATCCAAAACTAAACGATCTGCACGTCGTTATCTGGATGAAAACCAGCTGAAACGGATATTTACATTGAATAAAAAAACAACCGAAAAAGTGAAAGCATTACTTAATTGTCAGTATATATATTGAATTTATCACAATGTGTGCTCTATCTTTATTGTTTCATATTAATAGAAGTAAATGTACTTATGGTAGATGCATTATCCAACATTACTAATATTTGTAATACACATTGTGAACTTGTAACCCACCTTTTTTGAAACTAATCATAATATGAACTACAAATAGTCTGCAGTCTCTTAGAATGTTACCTTGCTGTCACAAATACAGATATATAATTATATATAATATCGTACAATTACGACAGGTAACTCATATCTTCAACCTTCTTTTCAACAGATACTATTGTATATGATATATAGTGTTTATTAATTAAATAAATGACAGAGAAACGAGTTATAAAACTGACCTCTATGTCACTTGTGTTTCTTTGTCAAGTATATTAAACATGAAATGTAAAATATAGTATTGACAAAATGAAAAAAAACAACAAAAAAACCCTTAATCAAATAGGAAATCAAATATCAAACAACTATATCTTCATTGTCGTGAAGTAAACATAAATTTTGTTTTATCCGAGTGAAAACAACCTTCCTTATGTTCCTTTGTTTTTATTGTTGACTACACCAATTCATTTTAATCGAGTTCAATATGTAACTAAAACTGTCTCGCTGAGTCGACTTATAGTGATAATTTAGATCAACTTATCGTGAAATTGTTCATGAACATGAAAGCGAGATAACTCCAGTGTTCTGTCTCCTACATGTAGAGTCAGTTTCATGAATAAAACAAATGAGATCTCCCGAGGTTTGGTGTTTTATTTTCAAGCTCATGTGAAAATAAATTCGTAATGGCAGTAGCTAGCTTAGGTATTGTCGATATAATTATGGCGGCATAATCAGTCATTTATTTCGAGTTATCGAGATAGTTTTAATATGATATCTAAATTATGTTGATCACTACAATTATCATAAGGTGATTTCATTATTATCATAAGTCTACTTATGGATTAATGTATTATGAAAAGACAAGTTATCGAGATAATTGTTTCGAAATAACTATATTGGTTTAAATGAACTAGTAGCAAAATTGTGTCAACATACCTTTTACCAAAATGAAAACACATTGATAGTTACGGGTCGAGCATTTTTTTTAGATTTTAATATTTCAGTTTTAGCAAATCATTCACCAAAACGCAAAATAGTATGTTCAGAAAGGATTGCCCCGGGGGAACAATACAAGTCATAATCGTTACCCCTTTTATGCAGTTCATCAGTGATAATAGCATGCACAATTCATAGTTATCCGATACTTATCTGGATATTCGGACCAAGAAAAAGAATGTGATAAGAAAAAACATACCTCTGGGTGATGATGATACAGTGTAGTTAATGTTCTGTGTTTCTTTCCCTACTGACAGACCGTTTGTTTTTGTCATTCATTTTGTTTTAATTAACTATCTATTTCTGTCATTCTTTTTGTTTTAATTTACCGTTTATTTTTATAATACATTTTGTTTCAATTAACCGTATATTTTTGTCATACATTTTGTTACAATTTACCGTTTATTTGTTTCATATATTTTGTTTTAACTTACTGTCTATTTCTGTTATTCGGTTTGTATTCTTCTGAATGACCTTTTATTGCTGTCTCTGATTGACCGTTTATTACTGTCTCTGATTGACCGTTTATTGCTGTCTCTGATTGACCATTTGTCATTTATTGCTGTCTCTGATTTGAAAGCTTAGACCTGTCTCTGATTGACCATTTATTGATGTCACTGATGGACCATTTATTATTTATTGCTGTCTCTGATTGACCATTTGTCATTTATTGCTGTCTCTGATTTTAAAGCTTATTGATGTCTCTGATTGACCATTTATTGATGTATCTGATGGACCGATTTTTGTCTGTCCCTGATTGACCATATAATGATGTATCTGATTGACCATTTATCATTTATTGCTATCTCTGATTGACCATTTATTGCTATCTCTGATTGTCCGTTTATTGCTGTCTCTGATTGACCGTGTATTGCTGTTTCTGATTGACCGTGTATTGATGTCTCTGATTGACAGTGTATTACTGTCTCTGATTGACCGTTTATTTCTGTTTCTGATTGACCGTGTATTGCTGTCTCTGATTGACCGTTTATATCTGTTTCTGATTGACCGTTTATTACTGTCTCTGATTGACCATTTATTGCTATCTCTGATTGTCCGTTTATTGCTGTCTCTGATTGACCGTGTATTGCTGTTTCTGATTGACCGTGTATTGATGTCTCTGATTGACAGTGTATTACTGTCTCTGATTGACCGTTTATTTCTGTTTCTGATTGACCGTGTATTGCTGTCTCTGATTGACCGTTTATATCTGTTTCTGATTGACCGTTTATTACTGTCTCTGCTTGACCATTTATTGCTATCTCTGATTGTCCGTTTATTGCTGTCTCTGATTGACCGTGTATTGCTGTTTCTGATTGACCGTGTATTGATGTCTCTGATTGACAGTGTATTACTGTCTCTGATTGACCGTTTATTTCTGTTTCTGATTGACCGTGTATTGCTGTCTCTGATTGACCGTTTATATCTGTTTCTGATTGACCGTTTATTACTGTCTCTGCTTGACCATTTATTGCTATCTCTGATTGTCCGTTTATTGCTGTCTCTGATTGACCGTGTATTGCTGTTTCTGATTGACCGTGTATTGATGTCTCTGATTGACAGTGTATTACTGTCTCTGATTGACCGTTTATTTCTGTTTCTGATTGACCGTGTATTGCTGTCTCTGATTGACCGTTTATATCTGTTTCTGATTGACCGTTTATTACTGTCTCTGCTTGACCATTTATTGCTATCTCTGATTGTCCGTTTATTGCTGTCTCTGATTGACCGTGTATTGCTGTCTCTGATTGACCGTTTATTGCTGTCTCTTTTTGACCGTGTATTGCTGTCTCTGATTGACCGTTTATTGCTGTTTCTGATTGACCGTGTATTGTTGTCTCTGATTGACCGTTTATTTCTGTTTCTGATTGACCGTGTATTGCTGTCTCTGATTGACCGTTTACTTTTTTTCATACCGTTTGTTCTTTCCATGCATGCTTTTTCTGACTTACATCTTTGCAGTCCCAATAATCCGATTGATCATCTTGCCGCAGTTGATATGTAACGGGGTCATTGACATGTATTGTCAAGTATAAATTGATGGTTTCTCCAAGTTTAAAATCGCCATGAAAATGCACTGTATGGCTGACACCGGTACTGTCCCACACAGTAATGCTGAATGTTGCGTTAGCAGCACGAAAACTTATCTTTCCAGTTGTTGTCTGTATTGCCCACATATCCTCTGAAAATAGAAACACGTTGTCATCGTCATATCTATAAACACATTTTATGTAACCTGTTTTTAGATTGAACTTACTCAAAAGGCATTGGACACAAGGTATTAGATTTTCAATAAGATACATCAATTTTGAAATATTTTGTAGAAAGTAAAACTTATTTTCTTCCTTATAACATATCAACATGATAATAACCTTTATATCATATACATTGTGGTGAAATTATAACTATTATAAAATATAATCAGAGACATTTAATCTAGTTTACGATGCAGACCATAAAAATACTGTATGTATCAGGCCCAAAGAAATTTACTAAAAGGAATTGTGAGCAGCATATACCAGTACAGCAATATTTAATGAAGCTATATTATATCATTTTCTTGTCTGCGAAACGTAATGGAAATATATATAAACCTTTTTGTAATAGGTTGTATAAGTTTTACAAATCGGTGCATATTCACCCATTTACATTGATAACGTGAAACTTCGTAACTGGAATTTATTCTTAATTAATTTACAGAGGCATTGCATTTATGTGATGAATGAAAACTTCCTTATTCGTAGTAGAATATAAATATACATCTTTATAAATATTACGTTGTTATAGGTTTTAATATGCACATTTTACGGTATTTCAGACATATGTTTTTATTCATCTGATCTATGTTATGTACCATTTGCGAGTGATAGATGATAAACACGGCCATTTAATAAGTTCACTTTTATTCACGAGTCACGACAGTTACCAATCTCAAGTCACGTGGTAATTCATGAAAATTGAATTTGACAAGGGGATATATGCCATTAATATCAGTTATAAGCTAATTCGAAAGTTCATCTATACATATTTCGGTCATTGAGCACAGGATATACCAGATATGACAACAGACTCGGCAAACATAATTTGGTCATCGAACAAAGGAAACCGGATATTACAACCAACTCGGCCAAAATAATGTATCATCAAGCACAGTAGACACATGATATAGCACCTAACTTGGCCAAAATAATTCGGACATAACATCCAACTCGGCAATACAATTTTGGTCATCAAGCACAGGATATACCTGTTGTAACAACCAACTCGGCCAAAATATTTTGGTCATCGAGTACAGGAGATTCCGGATATCATAACAAACTCAAAATGATAAATCTGTCACCTATCACAGAAGTACATGTTTTACAACGAGGATAAACGTTTGTTTTGGAACCTATTCCGTGACCTGTTACACTTTCGTAATCGCCATATTGTTCATTCAATAATAAACAGGCTACACGATCGTTATATTAATTAATACTCATTTCCTTTGTTTTTTGGTTTGGTTTTATTTTTTCTAAGAACGAAATATAAAAGCTGTCAAAATTGGTTAAAGCATATCCTGAAACTTATGCAGTGATGCCTACTGAATACAGGGCCGCGGTGGTCAAGTGGCTAAGGCGTCTGACATTCTGCTACCACCAGCCCTCTACCAATGGGTCGCGGGTTTGAATTCTAAATGGGGCAGTCACCAGGTTCTGGCCGTAGGTCGGTGGGTTTTTTCCAGGAAGTCTGGCTTTTATCCACCGCAAAAACCTGGCACCTCCTTAAATGACCATAGCTGTGGTTAGGACGTGCTACACAAACAAACAAACCAAGCCTACTGAATTATGTATTTCGTCTAAAGGCTTTGGTAAAATAATCACCTTTTGCGGCTATGGTAGTCTTGTTGTGGCTATTTCCAATCCAGCAGTCACATTCGAATGTAAAGTTATATGAGGCGCTTTCCATCGTCAACTGCAACAGATAGAGACTTTATAGTTTTGATTTTATTATATTTCTTAACTGTTTAAAATAGTGTTTTTCATCAATAAGACAACTAAAAGGACTGACAATGGTGACTACTAAAAGCGTTAAATCTATGCTTAGGAAAAAGTACAATACCATGCAACATATTTATATTGACACTAAAGTTTCTGAAGGTATTTGAATAGATGTAGATATTAATAATGATAATGATAATTTGAGGTTCGTATATACCGCTTTATCACAACCTTGTTCTTAGGTCGTCTCAAAGCGGTTCACCAATTTCTATCCGTGGTTATAAGGCCTTTGCAACTAGCCAACATCTTTCTCAACTCCCTGGGGAGCATACAGCCGGTGCTGCTATTTCGGCGCTCACAGCTAACATTTAACAATGCTAGCACTGTTCATTGCAACCACGTACAGACTGGAACAAACGGAGTAAAGGATCTTGTTCAAAGATACAACACAGTGTTGTGACATGACTCCAACCCACAACCCTTCGGTCGCGAGCCCGGCGTTCTACCACTAGACTACCGTGCCTCCTGATGTAGGATTTAGAACATTTTATTTTAGTTTCAAAATACTTGTTCCATTTTATTTTTGACAGTGAAACCATTTTGTAACTATATATTAACAGTGAGATTTTATCTTAGTTTACATGGTATTGTCTACAAATTTTATGGAAAACCTGTTTGAGATTTTATAGTAAGATTTTGGCAATGACACAGAAACAGTTTATAGTCAACCTATTTATTTATAGTTTAAAGGACATCTCAAATATGTTTTCCTTTGCAAAGGCTTATACAGATACTTTATTCTATAAATGGTCAAGGTTTCCAAATTATTTTCATTTATCCACGTCACTATTTAACATACGGAAATAGCAAATAAATTGACTGTGAAATAAATGGTGCTTATTATGTTACTTTGAATTACATTGCTGCCAATTATATCGTAACAGGATGTGATTGTTTCTTTTTAAACCTAATGTACAATATTAAATCAAGGTTTAATCATATACTGTATATCTATTATACTTATAAGGGAAAATAAAATGAAAATATAGAGAAGGTGAGATGGGTAAGAATGACTTCCATTTCATGCGATTTAGAAACTATCTTTCCTAATTAAGAATTCTGAATACACGTGCATCAATGATATGATGAAGATGTTATACTGTAATCAAGTGTTAAAAGCAAGCAATACGCGGTCAGATTTTGACATGTTTATACCTGTCAACCCACCATCGTGCACAAATTAAACTAATCCCTGCGAGTCGGATGCAGTTGGGGGAAATATTTATACACTTTGAAAACAAGTAATGGTTATAGAAAATATAGAAAAATGAGATCCATTTACGGAAGCCTCTATCATAAATGTTGTTCATTTTCGCATAAAATTAGTTTTTCGTCATCATTTCATACCTTGTCATTTTTATACGTAGTAAGCTTATTTCTAACAATTGTGCAACCTTCACTAGTGGTTGTCTTTCTAGTAGTGCATAACCTGTAGTGTTTTGTAAATAGAATATATGAAGTTCATTTGCATTTCAGGTTTTCATTTTGTCAAAAGTTAAATACCTAAAGTTTGAGTGTATATCTGCACAAATATTCCCTTAATGATCTTAAATCTTAAGTAGGCGGTAAATAGTATAAAAAAAATCGCGTATAATTTTTGAAAACATGCAAACGTTTATATCATTGCCATACCCGGATGAAAAGGACAACATAAATCTGAAAAAAAGACTGCATGGACAAACCATACCGAACTATTGCTCTTGCAAACAAGCGATTATGTATCATATGTGAAGTTTTGATTACTAGTATAGTATGTACTCTGTTACCTTCATCAGACAAATGACCAGCTGAATCGAGTTATTTCTGTACAGCTTACAGCGTACAGCCGAATCGACATCGATTTGTAAACAACTCGTACACATTGTACTACGCTTCACTGGTCATTTGTCTGATGAAGGTGAAAGAGTACATACCGTACTCGTCATCGAAACGTCACATAGAAACACACATTGGTTGTGTAACAAGAAATGTTTCATAATCCATACTTACAAACCCGCAAAAAATGTTTAGAACAAAGGAATAGTGTAAATACTATTAAGTTTGTCTACTACATTTTATTCGAAAGCGAAACGAAATAACATTCTGACGTACACTGTCAAATATTGTCTTTGATAATGATATAACCTGTCATGATGAAAGTAACCAAACTTTAAGACTTTATAGCAGTCTTGCCGAGCATGTTTTTTCGAGTTGAGATTGGTAAAACCTTTAAGTTATTCCTTTAGAAGGATTAAATTATGACATTTCCGTTGTAAAAATGTGTGACCATTACTAGACTTGAGTTTTAATTAGATTGTTTGTCAAATTTACTGCAATATTTAGTATCAACTTTGAAAAAACAGTTTTTGTAGACACCGCAATAACCAAATTCATACACAGCAAATACATTATATTGAAATCGCTTATCAGCGAGTCATGTTGTACTGTGACTCCTAGACGATGACCAACAAGCTGCATATCAGGCCATTTTCGCCTTTTTCGCCCTCCGTAATTTATCATTACAGAAGCAAGCGATATAATAAAAATAGTAATCAAATGTGAAGGGGTGAAATTAATATTAGGTGGAAATTAATTTCATCGGCGTAGGGCTAAAATTAAACTGGGCGACAGTTTCCCGGTATACATATAGAAAAATACATGAAATGCTGTTTTGCATCACATGGATAAATTAAACAAATGCTGTCAAAAGATGTGAAGATAACATAATTCATACCTTTACCATTTTCCAAAGAAAAGATTCAGTTGAGTTTTGCCAAACGTCTATCATCTTCGGTCTTGTGATAGCTGGGATAGTGACATTAACAACAGCGTGGGATGCTGAGAATTGTGTTATCGTTATTGTCATGGTTACATTAGGTGCATCACTTTCGCTGGTGTTCCCGCGTTCGTAGAATGTGACTGTAAAGTCGGCTTTCGTGAAGGATGTGTTCAACATGTAGCCAGTTGTAACACTGATCTTCCAATCAACAGCTGTAATGAGAACGATTCAATTATTATAATGATGTTAATTCGAGGGTCTTATATACCGCATCATCACAACATAGGTCCTAGGTCGCCTTAAAGCGGTTCACAAATAATTATCCGTGGTTAGGGGGCCTTTGCAACCAGTTAATACCTTTCTCATCTCCCTGGGGAGCATACAGCCGGTGCTGTCATTTCGGCACTTCCAGCTAGCATTCAACCGTTCTAGCACTGCCTAACCACGTACTGATATACAGCTGAGTAGACTGGAGCAAACGGAGTAAAGTAATTTGTTCAAAGATACAACACAGTGCCGTGACGTTACTCGAACCGACAACCCTTCAGCCAAGAGCGCGGCGTCCCGCACTAGACTGCCGTGCCGCCAACATCACCAAATACATAATAGAACGTTTATAAAGAGACAAAACCATTTAGCAGATGAGTGTTATTAGTCATGATCCACAGAGGCTTAGAAAACTGTATCATTGTTTAATTCATCTGAAATGTTATTCTCGAATTCAATCGACATAAACCTTCTTATTGTCGTCTGTTAATACATTGTCTGTCACCTTTGACTTACCTTCTTTCGTGGTGTTCATTTCCCTGGTTGACTGTATCTCAGTTGATGCTGATGATTCTGTAGTGGTAATCGTAGTAGGAATGTTAGTGGTGGTAGTGGTAGTAGGAACGGTGATGGTAGTGGTAGTAGGAACGGTTGTTGTAGTGGTAGAAGTTGTAGTGGTAGAGGTTGTACTTGTAAAACAATCAGGCTTTGTACCTTTAAAAATACATTATTAATGTGTTACAGTTTACCATATTAAGCAAAATATTTTTAATGTTCTGGTTATACCTAATTGATGTCAAACGTGGAATGGAACACTAGGATATGTTTGATGTGCGCCCACGTTTCACCAGTTCGTGAATGTGTTTATTACTTGCGTTTCATATTTTTAGCGGATTATCTATGGAACTAAGAATGTAACTATATCGCGTCATCATCACTTAGCCACCGAACAACAAGAAGAGAATACCAAGGTGTATTCATAATAGATGAAATATCTGCAAAACAAGAACAAAGGTAAGATTTACATCAGCCCCATGGAAACATTGACAAGGAGACCAGACATTTCGGAAGGCCCAGCGTTTGTTTGAAACCACCAAGGTTACGCCTTCAAAATCGTCCGCTTTATGGTATCAACAAAAATTAAAAACAAAATAATCATTGGAAAACTCGACATCGCCTTCAAAAAGTCCAGTCTGAGCCGATAGTTCCGCGTACATGATGCCATGCTGTAGTGTAAGAAACCTGAATCGTTTGATAACATATACAATTGTATGGCCTTTCAATGTGGAAGTTTCTATAATTTGAGTTTCGGTTAAAGTTTACCTCAAAAATGGCCTAGTCATATTGTGGTCATATGACTTCTTTCGATTAAAACCTTGTTCAAACTTTTATAACAGATTGCTGACATTTTGGTATTACATTCTATTGTCGTGTATTATTACATATTTCCGTGACATTTTATATATTGTTTTCATTATCACATTCAGTGATATCAGTATCATACATCCAAATTAGGTCAGAAATGAAAAATGTAGGAATAGTTATTATCGTTAACTGTATGTAATATAGCTTGCTTTGTTTTTATTGTCCTATCTATCCGAATAAGGCCAGACATAAAAAAGTGTGGCAATGTCTATTATCGTTATAATGTATACCTTGCTGTGTTTACATTGCCGTATTTATCCGAGTAAACCCAAAAATTAAAGAAATGGAGTAAAATTCGACCAAAGGTTGATTTTTTTCCGCAATAAAAGGAAAAACAATATTTAGCAAGAAACACGTTGTGAAACAGCAATATAATACATCAACAACCTCAGTCGAATAATTAAAGATTCTCGTATTTTAGACGATACACTTTATTTTGCTATATAACACTTACCACGACGCTGGAGATACCGTGTTATAGTGTTATACTTAATGTCTCCGCAGCCGAATCCAAAGTATCTACATGTTATAAGATGGACAAAATCGAACTGAAACAAAACAAGATGATTGATTGATAGGTTTTACGTCCGCTTCACTACCAAGTAGTTCGGTTATCCAGCAGACAGAGAGAGAACAAGATATTATATAGTATTTTATATAGTGAAAAATACAATGGCCGACATCGGTCTGACAAAACTACTGTTACAGTTTGCTAACTCAATAAACTGTACTACACCTACAACACGTGGGGCAAACAATTTAGTTATAAATCCATATGTCACCACCATGTATAATGACAATGTCATAAAGCAAAAATTAAAAGGAAAAAAATAATGTTACTAAAAATACGAAGCAAAAAGAACAACTGAAAGCATAATGTTCAAAATATTATTTTAACATTTGTTTAAGCAAGTGGCAAACAAAATTTTACGTTAGTAACTTATCAGTACAATAGGTTTATGATTCAGGTTTTGGGTACACGTTTCTCATACCTGTAAGGACACTAGTATGACTCAAACGATGGATGAAAGCCCCTTTGTGGGACTAGCATATTTGTTGTATAGCTATAGATCCCCCTGTACAGATTGTTCCTATCTTGTTGTCATTACACGGCTCTCTATGTATATTCTGTTATAGCTATAGATCCCCCTGTCGAGATTGTTCCTATCTTGTTGTCATTACACGGCTCTCTATGTATATTCTGTTATAGCTATAGATCCCCCTGTCGAGATTGTTCCTATCTTGTTGTCATTACACGGCTCTCTATGTATATTCTGTTATAGCTATAGATCCCCCTGTCGAGATTGTTCCTATCTTGTTGTCATTACACGGCTCTCTATGTATATTCTGCTTTCATCATTTGCAATTGAAACACAGAAACAGTGTGAAATAAGTCTTTGATACTACGACTTTGAACTTCCCAGTAATTAATTCACCACTGAGACCATGTGAAATAATTGCACACTATTGGACTACATAGATGGGAAGTTACGACTTTCTGATGGTTTGACGTTGAAGTTCTTAAAATCAAATATTCATGTTATGTTCTTACTTTTGATTTGATACCAGTGAATCTATTGAAACAAGACTTTATGTCATCTACTGAATATGAAGAGTTATCATTTTTTGTATACGTACTTATGGACTGAAAATGTAAAAAAAAACAATGGATACAATACTCCCCGTTTGAGCTGGAAAGCTTAAAGTTAATAAAGAATAGAATAGAGTAGATTACTGAATCGGTAACTGTATAAGGTAACTAAAAAAATCAGCGCAAAAAGTTATTTGTTTGTCAAATCCAGATGTTTGCCATTGTCGCAATCGGCAATACGGGATTCAATCACACTACTTGCAGTCCCTGACATAAAATGTATTTTTGGAAAAAAACTGCTCAGGCTAAAAGAAATGGCTAGGGGCCTTTCTTTCCTTAAGTGAGAGCCATTTTTCATTGACAAAAACATATTTTGGACAAAGTTTTTTTTTAGCGTCAGACATATGTCATTGACATAAAACATGATTGTAACACAATTCTATAGAAATAATAAATATGTTCATCTTACGTGTTTTTATTGCTCATAGTACAGGCTTAAGCCTGAGTAAATTATATCAATTCGCGAGATAAAATTGCACTCATTCTGTGACGTAACATATTAACACATATGTGTGGAGTAGCTTTTATCAAAACCCAACATCGCTCTTCATATGCATATTATATTTTCTACAAAAAACACTAATCATTACCAAGTATTATTGTTCAATTCTCATATTTTATTATCAAATTGTGAAGAACATGGTCTTGTTTTGCGCGACCTGAAAAATGTCTGTATCACTGTAAAAGGATTCATCAGGTCTATGTTTAAAATGTAATACCAAGTGTGTTTTCCCGAAATTGCAGATTTACACATGTACATATTAAATTGTGTTATCAAATCATACAGTTGTTCAAAGTTTACAGATACGAAACAACAGATTTTGGTACCGAGTTTGTGTGGCGTTCAAAATAACTTTTTCTTTGAAGTTCAATAATTTGATCCTACACTCGCCTTGTCATATTGAGTTTATCAAACGGTTACACATACGAAACATCAGCTTTTGGAACCGAGTTTGTTAAGTTCAAAGGCCTTTGTCTTTGAAGTTTCTTCTGTATCATTCTTTTAAGTTTGACATTTTTGCGGTATATTTTAAATTTCATATATGCTTGAAGACATGTGTGATATTGCTTCTTGGTCTGGATCATTAAACGCTTTAAATTACAGAATAATATATTTTCCCCCAAACAATTTTGGCTTAAATCACATTTTGTATGATATCAAGTTCTTTTATAAGTCACCATCTTGTTGTGTTCCGAACAAACCCAATGTGTACACAAACTAACCTGTATGCAGGACCAACCGTCCTTGTTTCCAACCATCTGCAAACTGTACTTTACAGGACTGTTCAGATGTAGGGACAGATTATCTATGGTTGTTGTTTCTCCTTTCTTGAAACTTTTATAAAACATGGTTGTTTGGCTTATACCAGTACTGTCCCATACCGTAAGGCTAAAATCACTACGAGATCCAGCGTAAGTTTTCACGCTGGTTTCTGTCTCAATCTGCCACATGTCTTCTGAAACAGGATAAACAGATCAAAATACACTCAGATGACAAACTAAGAGAAACCCTGAAGACCGGGAAATTTTCGCTGTTATTTAATTTTCGATATGTTTGCCTTTGGGAATAAGGGTAAGTTGAGCATGACTTGACTAATGGTTAACATAATTTTCTTGATAGCAATTACATGTGATGGGCGAAATCAATACTAGCCAGATGAAAATTGATTTCACCGGTGACAAGGGAATGTACACTAACTTACATATTTAGTGACTGGGAATTTGATAAAAGGATTTTACATCAGTGTCCATGTCATATTGAATTAATTAAACGAGTTCAATAATTTGATTTGACACGAACCTTAAGCTTAAGCCGTTCAAATTATTGAACGAGTTTAATCATTTTGATATGACATGAACACGAACATTATATTATATTTATCACATAACATTCCTAATTTGATTAAAAAACAAATTCAAACACAATAATAACTCTATACAGATCAACTAAAGTAGCTCCAACATAGTATTGTCGTTCCGTGCAGTGCAAATAGTTTCAGATTTAAATAATAGACAATAGTAAATGGACTGAAAATAACATTGACAAAATGAACATTTCAAATTGAGTTAATAGCAAAACAACGAATAACAGTTTTATCTGAATTAGTACATGTAATGGCGTAAGGATATCTCCCCACGGTTTCGACCAATCACAAAACCGTAAGGTTATATTACACGTGTGTACTACCATATTTCTTACATGGTCGTATGACGTAGTAAAATCGGTCAATATTGTGATAAAGATGAAAAATCGAGATATAACCAACAACAGTTTTCTGATTGTCAAAAACAATGAGTAAGAGTAAGATTCGGGCCCTGAACTTCAAATTGTTATAATATTGCAACGGAAGTGCCGAATTGTACTACCATTTTATCTGAAATGAAATAAAGGCAGGTAACTCTAAAGACGAAAATAGAGTTGAACGTCTAGTATTTTGCCTGCAATTGTTCAAGGATCCTTGAGCCTATATATCCATCTGATATTCGTTTTTCATGTTCAAACGATAAAAAAGTCATGTACACTACCATTGTATCTCAAATGAAATAAAGAGAGGTAACTCTAAAGACGAAAATAGAGTTGAACGTCTAGTATTTTGCCTGCAATTGTTCAAGGATCCTTGAGCCTATATATCCATCTGATATTCGTTTTTCATGTTCAAACGATAAAAAGGTCATGTACACTACCATTGTATCTCAAATGAAATAAAGAGAGGTAACTCTAAAGACGAAAATAGAGTTGAACGTCTAGTATTTTGCCTGCAATTGTTCAAGGATCCTTGAGCCTATATATCCATCTGCTATTCGTTTTTCATATTCAAACGATAAAAAAGTCATGTAAATAATATTGTTGATGTATACTTAAACGAAAAGGAAACGCAGCATTACGTTGGTCTACTACAGACGCCGCAATGCAGTGCACATCATATATGAAGGTTGGCAGCATACCTGACCAGACGTTGTCCTATGAGTGATTGAATGTCCATGCTCTTCACTTATTAATCTCAATTTAAATAATTAAGAGTTAAAGACCGTAAACGTTTGTACCGGCGTCGTGGCGAGCGTTTTTCTAATGCTGTTTTTTGAGAATGGCCGATTTGGGGTAAGACCAGTCATGGTTTTGCCTTTTTTGCAATACATTACACCGTCTTATTAGAGGTTTCACAACTGCCGCCATTTCCATTTAAGTAACTTAGGACATTTCATTTCATGATTGGCTGGTTAACGCCCCATTTGTTTAAGATTCCTACATATTGGAGTACTCATTTTTATTGACTGTCATTTTTTTTAAATGTTTCAATTTAACGATATAAATAATAATAAACTACAGACGGCTGGCACATAAATCTCTCGGGCTAACAATTGTTTGATTCTACTTCATTATAATAATAATATATAACATTTATATAGCGCCCTATATAATTTGAAAAAAAATTCTCTTAAGTGCTTTATAACATATGGATAATAGTATTAGTTAAACAAAAAACAACTTGACATTCACAATTATACATTAAGCAAGAAGATAAGCACCTCGATGTGCATATACATACGTATACATATTGTTTGTACCTGTTGGAAATATGGTGGACTTAGCGCTGTCAGTACCAATCAAGCAGTCGCATTCAAACGTAAAAGTATACGATGAACTTTCCATGGTCAACTGCAACAAATAACAGATACAAATCAGATTATTATTAATATTTGTATTTGATGTAAAATAGATGTAGAGTTTAAATTTGTGCAGCAACACGAAGATATCTCAATTCATCGAAATAAGCAAAAACATTTTTTTTGAAAAAAACCTAATTGGTAACATTTGAAAGCAAATTCAAGTTATTATGCCCAGCGTCAGTAGTTAGGACCAATGTCATATGCCATATTATAGCATAGTATTGATAAAAACAATGCGGAAGGTTAACACGTTATAATTACCTCAGTGTTTCAAACTCAACTAGACTAGAGAAGAATAGGAATATTATACGAACGAAATCAACAGAAACAAATTTACTCTAAAGAAATGTTTTCATATATATCAATATTGTAATTATTATCTTTAATAAGATTCATCAGTTTGGAAATATAAGATATCATTTACTTTTTACACAAACAATGTACGTATTACACGTGTTGCAACGTTTCAAACCCGACTGGTCCCTCTGTCAAGCTATGACTGAGTGAGCGATTTGTATTATTTTTCTGTACAACGATGTGACAAAATTGTTTATTTTACATATCACTCGACCCGAGACGTTCCGTCTATCGATAGGGAGCGTATACACACTGCATCAGTCATAGCTTGACAAGGGGACCAGTCGGTCTTGAAACGTTGCAACACGTTTAGTACGTACATTGTTTGTGTAAAAAGTAAAACTTTGATATTGTAATCATTAGTTTTTCTAACTGAATAAAAACAGTGTCTGCAGGCGTGAACACCTTCCTTTGTAAAGGAAACAAGTATTGCTCTGAGCTGAATCCAGGGCCCTGGCTGTCACTATTCCCTCTTTCTTCTGAGGATACTATCGATTATTTTTCTTTCAAAAATAAAATAACTAAAAAAGGTTCTTTTTAAACAATACGTGCACAATGAATGACACGTACAGCCAATCAGAGATTAAAACAGCGAAGGAAGATATCATTTATATATTTAAAATGCACAGCTCTTTTCAATTTATTATTAAAGGGGCCGACCTGCCTGGTTCCCAATTGATAAAGAAATGTTTTTAACAAACAAATACAAAGACATCATAACTATGATTTTGTTACTTTCATTTAAAGCGTAAAATCATAGTGTGACGTGTTTGTCTGAAAGACGATGACCGTAGAAAATGGTAACATATTTGTAATGTGTTGACTATTAAGGCAAATACTGATAGCTCGTTATTCTCGGAGATTTTATGCAGACGTTGCAAATTCGATGACCCTCCATAAAAAACATGCTTCTACTCTTAAATTTGCATGGTTTTGGATAAAAACCCGTGCTCGTTAATAGTTTTCCGGAAAGAGCATCGAAATAAGCAAAAAGGTTAAAAAAAACACAAACACACTTCAAAATACAGCATGTTTAGAAACTTCAAGTACGACATATGTCCTACCTTCAACAGTTTCCAAAGGGTAGAATCAATCCCGTCACGCCATACGTCTATCTTTGTCGGTCTTGTGATAGACGGGATAGGAACAAGGACCACAGTTGACGAGTTTCTGGTGTAATCTGTACCAATGACCATTGTCTCAATTGGTGCTGTAATTTCACTGGTGTTTCCGCGTTCGTAAAACGTGACTGTTAGTTCCACTTTTGCAGGCGCGTTTGGTATGTTCGACATCATTATCCCTATTTCCCAATCGACAGCTGCAATGGAAGTAATTTAGTTTGACGGGAAAGGCACTTGTTATACCCAGCGAGACCCATAGTCGTTACCAAGCAAGGACAAACTAAAATGTCGGCACTGCCTTAGAAACGATAGTCGGAAGAGATGGGGAAGATCTCAAAACCAGAAAAAACACTTTCTTTTAAAACAAAAATCTCAATTAAAAGCTTTTTAACTTGCACTGTCAACTTTAAGTATAAAACTGTTTCCTCGTTTAAAAGAATAACGTAAATAGTTATAATGAAATAATCTTTGTAACTGGCTAAGAGAGCTTATATCTTCAGACATATATGAGCTTATACATTAAGTAAGGAGGTGACCATTTAAAAAATAAATGATAATGCAAATTCTATTTCCGTTTTGTTTTTTTTGAAAATATCAAAAGGACTGGACAACAACTGGCTTTGACTGTATCACGCAGCACAAGTTGCAGAAAAAGTGATGCAAGGGGAGTAACTTCCACAAACGATATTTTTGAAATTAACCTCGGTAATGAGTTTTTCAGGAAATGTTTCGGCATTAAGACAAAATAATGGTAAGGCGCCTTTTGATCCTGCCGGCAATAACAAATAAGACAAACAGACAAACGATCATGATATAGTTCAAATTCCAAATTACTGACATCCATATATTTTTTTTAAATATGTTAGTTACGTCATTTAGACGCTTGTTTATTTATTTTTATTTTTTTAAACTACGATAATGACTGGTAATTCGTAACAGTAGGTTCTATGTTTCTGTTCGACATAAAGGCTAACTAAAATTGATATTTTACCTTAGCTGCTATCTTGTACTTGCAATTTTCTAAACAAATGGATCAACAACATTGCTTAAGTAGTCATTGGGAAGAATTCTATACATTAAGATTAATTGCTGTTTGTTCCCTCTTTCAGATGATGTTTCTAGTTCTAATTCTTATGAAGCTCACATGTAATGTTCCTCGACATAAACCTGTGTAATATTCTAGCTATATCTAATTGGATTGATTCGAGGGGTGTTTCTCATTTTCTGTACAATTATCCCATACTACATTTGAATATTCTAGACCTGGTTAAATATCGAAAGTATACAAAATACCGAGCGATTTTCTATCTGCAGATATATTTTTGTTCTAAGAACGTTGATATTTTATATGCTTTATCTTATGATTTTATTGTGTCCATCACACTAAAACCTATCGTATCGCACAGTCCACCAACACACAAGATTATATTCCCATAACGCTGGTACTTTTCAATCGTCTTTTTCTCCATAAATACATTGCCCTACCGTCAACATTATTGATGCCACAGCGTTCCTGACCTTTTATACGAATCTTAAAAACTTCAACAATATACGGTAGACCGTCTCTGGCCACTCTCCGATTCACGCTGTTGGATCAGCTCTGACACTCGTTCTCTTTTCAGCTCATTAATAAGAACCGCTGACTCTACATTGAACCCTGTTTAATTATGAGTCTCTCCGAATTTGCACAAAGATTACATTCCTTCACAAAACTATTGTCATGCAATGTTTTGCGCGAACGTTAATGCCCGTGAACTAATTATGATCGATCGGGATATTAGGCCGCAGACTAAAACAATTTTACAGTCTATATTTATAAACTTTATTTATTTTACAACAATTTTGAAACAAAGTTATTTCAACTTATATGATTAACGATTTGGCCCGGATGTTAGCGCGCGGAGGGTCTAAATGTGGGAGGAAACCGAAGCACCCAGGAAACCCACGTGGTCAGGCAGGTGACCCCATACCTTTTCACGTCCGATCGGGGAATCGAACCCCCGATGAAAGGCAAGTGCGTTATCCACTGCACCACCCGACCACCCGATACCCTTACCACTGTATTTATTTATATTGACAGTATCAATAGTAAAATACTCATTTGGTAGACGTGTTTAGCTATCAGTGGATGACACGTATTGATAGCAGTGACACATTCAGCCTTGCCAGTCTGTGGATTTCCCATTGCTATATTTTCGGACGTACACACTGCATGGTTTGCACTGACGAAGTTCTCAGTATCTTAGTTACGGGATAACATTTGTTATCAAAAGCAAAACTCGTTAAAATATACCAATTACATATTTCATTATCTATCGAATCAATAAATGTGCAACGCGTTACACATCGAGTTGTTTTCGTGCTTCAAAGCTTAAGTCACGCTGACTACGGAACTCGCAAAAGTATGTCCATATGCGAAACGTCGGAAGGTTGTTTTTCAGAGACAGCTTATCAACCAGAAACAGTATATAAGTATCACACCTCCCACTGTAGCGAATGCAAACACGGCAATGATACAATCAATACTGTGTTTGTATAATCATCAACCACCGATCCGGAAAGTCTTATATTGGGAATTGGTTGTATTCATCCGTCTGCGGAATAAAGCTCGTTACAAATTAGTATTTTTAAGTAAAAGTTCGAATGAAAATCGCTTTGTTTGACCACAAATTATCCAGAAAATACATTTTAAAATGCAAGCACTACTTATGTTATCAAAATATGTGAATTTTTACTAATCTGATCGAGTAAAGAATATTGGTACCGGACAGTGTGTCAGGAGATTATGTCGTTGTGCTGTGTCTAGCGCGATTATATAATTGATTCGGTAGCCAACCATTGTCATTGGTCAGTTCGTGAAAAGTAGCAAATATTATAGGTGACAGAACCACGTGGATAAATTATGAGCTTTTCTGTGTTATTGTATCATATCTTACTGAGGAGCTGTAAAACTATACAAGTGTTGACATGCAAGGTTCGGGTTATCATTTACCAGTTATGGACGAGTATTGTAGAGATTGCAATACTTTTGTTCTACTTTTTGTTTCTTCGCTACACGCAATATGCATACCTTATATAATGTCCAATACTTGTAAACAACTGAAAAATATCAAGTTTTAGGATTACATTTACATGCATAGCTCTAATGAAATTGAATCGTACCGTTTCCTATATTTATCCGATGGTTGTCAGTTTGTTCCATTCTTATCATTGTGCTTGTTCATCGTTGTGGCACTCATGAACGCTGAATGCTCACTAAGATATTGTTCCATGTATTTTAGATTCCACTGCCTGCAACTGTATTGAATAATGCTAAAACAGTCCGTTTTATACCTGGATGTATTAAATACACGTTTATTCGCCGAAGCTCAATAATGCAACTACGACAGATTGTTTGTGTGTGGGATATTTTGTCCTGTTTTTTTTTGTTATGATAAAGGGCGATATGGTATGATGAAAACTGTTGAAAATTATGTGATATCGATTTTTACCATGAATAAGACAAAACCTGTGACGTTGCCCGGCAACTGCGATATATAATAATCATTAGTTTTATTGACGAATAAATAATAAACGAGGAGAGGAAAAGTAGACGTACATTAATGCGAATTGTCTATAGATCGATTGAAACACTATGTCATACAATGATAAGATATTTTCCTATGAGGGTTTTGGTGAGATGGTTGGGAGAGATGTTAATGGTATGTGCGCATTCACCCATCCATCCATCCAATCCGTCTATCCATCCATCCATCCATCCATCCACAAACAAATGTGATCCCTATTTCTGCCACCTTCTTGTATTCAGGATCAAAGTGCACCATGCGGGACGCCCATTAATACAAACTTCTCTACCCACATATGTGCACCAAATGACTTCCTGTTAAGAGACAATATTTTTCTAATGAATTCAAAATTGTCAGTATCTAGTCGGCTACAGATCTGCTACCTGACCTTATCAAATGTTATTTTTATCAGCGGTTGAATTTATCCCTTAAAGAAAAACTGCAATTGATATCAACAATGTATATGTATTTTATATTGTTTTTTACTTTTTAAATTTTGCAATATACTGATACAATAAATAAAGATTCAATGAAATCCATCATCAAGTGTATGTGTACAGACATAAAATGACGTAAAACACATTTTCTTTTACAATAATACCATCAATTTGTTAAGATTTGTTTCTGGCACAGCTATATCTCATTACCATAGTTACACTATATCACCAAATGTACAGTAATGTTTCAATTATGTCAGCACAGTTACAACCCATCACCGCGGGTACATGCTTTCACTACAGTTACACTATATTAACACTAAAAATCCATCGTTACTTCTTGACACCAATATTACAATATGACACCACTATTATACTATATCTGCACAGTTATACCATATGACCAAAGTTACACTTTATCATCATAGCTACTCACAATTACCGTAGAAATACTACATTAGCATAGTAACAACATATTTCCATAGTGACACTGTATCACCACAGTAACACTATGTCAGCATAGTTATATGTTTAGCTATATCACAATAGTTACAGTATATCACCACAGGATATCACAATAATTACACTTTATTGCCATAGTTCTGTCACTATGGTTTCACTATAAAACAACAGTTACATTCTATTTCTACATTTGTGCTCTATTATGATAGCTACATTCGTATTGAAATATATATTGCAGTCGTGTATTACCTCGGGCATGTCACGCTTCAACGGAGCGCAGGTCGTTCAAATAAATTATATCTCTTACACGACTGGTATTTGTTTTTCATACTAAGCAATGTGCAAGTGACCTTTCCTGTTACTACTTTTATTATGAACGGTTTAGGAAAGAAAACAGATGCTTTAAGACCCTGTTCAGTTGTCAAAATAATGACAAATGGTATTGCTACTAGAGGGATGAAACAGCTGTCTAATGCACTGTAAATCAGTTTCACCATATTGTATCTGTTAACACATTTTAAAGGTGCATCACATATGCATACATATATATTTTGCTAGGGATCACCTATATTTTTAAAAATAATCAAAATGTTAGAAAGGATATTATTATTTTCTTTCCGAACTGTTTTGGGTGAATATGTTGGCCTTCCAAATCGTCCTGTGTGGGTGTGTTCAGTCAACTATAAAAGCGAGTGTCTCAAATTGT